TAGCAAGCAAGCTTTAGATATACACACCATTTGATTATAACAATAGTGGATTCCGTTTAGTACAACGGACGTGAGAGGTGCTAACATCTTCCTTTTGCATAATCGACTTTTGAACCCAAATTTGGTTGCGAGACCATGTTCGTTCCCTTCTAAGATTTTTTTGATGTTTTTTTCTCACTGAAATACATAAAATTCAATGACGACTCTGTGTAAAGTTAGATGCTAATTATAGTTGATAGTCTTCTTTCGTCCATAAGTTTTTTTAACTTAAAATTTGTGAATCTTTTTGTTTTTAGTTTAAGGATCTGGAGAAAAAAAAACCACTACAGATGTTGGACCTATGACACAATACTTTTAATTGCAAGGACCACCCGCTTCCACTAGACTACTAAATTTTTGTTGTCCATAGTATGTATCAAATATAAATTATAACATTATAGTCAATTAATTCTATAATAATTTTAATAAAATTAAAATTAATTTCACTTTATTATTTAATACTTATTTTATTTATTTTTAATTAATTATTTTATTTATTTTCAATTCATTATTTTATTTATTTTTAATTCATTATTTTATTTATTTTCAATTCATTATTTTATTTATTTTTAATTCATTATTTTATTTATTTATTTTGTTTAATTTCAGTTTAATATTTAATATCAACTAAATTATATTAAATAAAAAATGTTAAAATATATTTATTATTGAGTTGAAAGTAATTTTTTCTTAACTTTTTAACTAAATTAATATTAACAAAAACTAAACTAAATTAATATTAATAATTAAAATATTATAAAATATTAATAATAATATTATAATATGTTCTAACATATATTTAAATAAATATAGTTAATTAAATAAATATGTTAATTAAGTTTTAAAGTAAAAATTAAATAATAAAAAAATATTATAAAAAATAATTTAATTAAATATATTAATATATTAATATTAATTTCAGTTTAATATTAAATATATTAACATATTAATATTAATTTCAGGATAATTAGCTAACATAGTTACGTTGAAAGTGTCTATATATTTTATAAAAAATAAATATTGTATTATATTACTTATATTGATTATCTTAACTATCTTAATTTATCTTTATATTAAATTTTAATAAATCAAATACTAAATAAATTATTGAATTTCATTTAAACTTTCAAAGTTAATTTATATCTTTATATTAATATATTAATATTAATTTCAGTTTAATGTTAAACATATTAACATATTAATATTAATTTCAGTTTAATATTAATTTTTTATAATTTTTAAATATTTTTTAATTATTTAATTTTAATTTTCAATTTAGTTAACATATTAATTTAATTAAATATGTTTATTTAAATATATTATTAGCATATTATAATATTAATATTAATATTTTATAATATGATAATTATTAATATTAACTTAGTTTAATTTTTTATTAATATTAATTTAGTTAAAACATTAAAAAAAAATTAGTTTAGTTTAATTTAGCTTATATTAATATTAGTCTAGTTCAAACGTCAATATTATTTAGTTTAGTTTATTAAAACATTAATATTAATTTAGTTTATTAAAATGTTATTAATAATTTAGTTTATATTTACTTTTAATTCAATATTAAATATATTTTAAAGTGTATTATTTAATATAATTTAGTTTATATTAAATATTAAATTAAAATTATATAAAATAAATAAACAAAATTATTAACTGAAATTAGATAAAATAAATAATTGTAATTAATTGAAAATAGATAATATAAATAATTTAAAATAAATAATAAATAATGAAATGAAATTAATAACAACATAGTAAAATTAATTAAATAAAATAAAGCAGCCTAATAAATGTAATAAATAATAAGTAAATAAGTAATAAATAATAAAGTGAATAATTTTATTTATTACTTATTAGTAAATAAGTAATAAATAATATATTATTTATTACTTATTTACTTATTTTATATATAGGCAAGGATCTAGATGTATGCCATTGAGGCAACTTCTCCCACCAATTTATTTATGCCATTATAAATTATTTAAAATATTTGTTACTTATCCAATAAAATAAAAATAATGTCCCTATAAAAGAAATAGTATTTGTGTATTTGAAAAATTAAATATACATATTGATTGATTTTTCAGTTACATATTAAAAACAAAAATAAAAGAAAAAAAATTATACAATAACTTTAAAATATAATGACTTATAGATATCTTTTTTTTGCATATATTTACGCATCTTTGATTTTTTTTTATAGATATAGACAGACATGGATCTAGATGTATGCTATTGTGGGCAACTGCCCCCACTAATTTATTTATGACATTATAAATTATTTAAAATATTTATTTCTTATCCAATAAAATAGAAATAATGCCCCCATAAAAAATAGTATTTGTGTATTTGAAAAACTAAATATACATATTGATTGATTTTTCTGTTACATGTTAAAAACAAAAATAAAAGAAAAAAAATTATACAATAACTTCAAAATATAATGACTTATAGATTTATTTTTTTTATATATTTAAGCCTCTTTGATTTTTTTTTTTTATAAATATAGAATAACAAATTATGATAATTTAAATTTTTTACACAATGATTTTATTACTTTTGCATTAATATATTTATTTTTTATATAAATATTTATAATAGTATATATAATTTGCCCCCACTAATTTAAATTTCTGGTTCCGTTCTTGTATATGAAGGTGAGAAAAATACAAGAAAGGGGGGAGGGGGGTTTGAATAGGAGTTTTCAAAATCAAAAGTTTATTTACTCACTCAATAAAAACCATAGCTATTCAACAACAAAGAGAAATACGCTTAGATTTTTATACTGGTTCACTTGAAAATTTTTAAGTTAATCCAGTCCACCCGCAAAGGTGATTTCACCTTATACCCAAGGACTTAATCCACTATAAATAACTAATTACAACTGCACTAGCAACCGCTGGTGACTAACAAACCACAAAGACACACAATCTATGTCTTCTAAAGGATTCTGATCTAATTGGTCTCTTAAGGGAATACAAACAACAGTTTGATTACAAGATTGTGTTTACAAAGATTGTTTCTATATAAGCAGGTATAAACAAGTTAAAAACTCAATTCACTTAAAGAAAATTTTAGCATAAATTATGACAACAGTCTTACATGTGTCTCTCTTCCGCATTTTCTTCAAGTCTTTATATAGCTAATAAAAAAGATCTGTTGGAGGGCAACTCTGGTATTCTTCATTAATGAGCTGGCGACTTGAGTAACAGTTTAATACGGAGGGGACAAGAATCATACTACCTCAATTTCCTTACTCTACGAAATCCGCTTAGTAGAAGGAATATTGATTTGTACTATGTATTATTTTCCTACGTATAAACTCATTCTTATCTTCTATTTTTCAGTGACTTTTGGATAAAACATTGTTTGAAGCATGAGACAGAAGAGTTGATTTTGCTTGAGTTCAGAAACTTCAATCATCAATCAGAAGCTTGATCACATCAACATCTGACTTGAGATTCTTCAGAGTTTTAGAACCTTCAGCGTTTAATCTTCAGAAGCTTGAGTTCAGAAACTTCAATTGTCAATCAGAAACTTGATCACATCAATATCTGACTTGAGATTCTTTAGAGCTTTTAGAACCTTCAGCTTTTAATCTTCGAAAGCTTGAGTTCAGAAACTTCAATAATCAATCAAAAGCTTGATCACATCAATAGCTGACTTGAGATTTTTTAGAGTTTTAGAACCTTCAGCTTTTAATCTTCGGAAGCTTGAGTTCAGAAACTTCAATCATCAATCAGAAGCTTGATCACATCAATATCTGACTTGAGATTCTTTAGAGTTTTAGAACCTTCAGCTTTTAATCTTCGGAAGCTTGAGTTGTCTTCAAAAGTGAATTGATCAGAGTCACACGTTAGAAGCAAGAGCCAAGAGAACGTTACAGCAACAACATAAGTTTCCTTAGAAGCTTCTCATCCGTGAGTTTAAACAGAAGCAATTTAGATCAATATATTCAAAAAGTTATAACGTTTCACGTTCAAGAGTCAGAATCAAAGCTGTTTTGCTAAAAATACACAATAACAAACCGTTAGAATACTAAAATTGTTCTTACACAAATACTGACAATAAAAAAAAAAAAAAAATATATATATATATATATATATATATATATATATATATATATATATATATATATATATATATATATATATATATATATATATATATATATATATATATATATATATATATATATATATATATATATATATATATTACAAACCATAGACAATAAAAATATAGCAGTCTAATGAAAGGGAGTCTTCCTTAATTTTTAATATTTTAATATTTCAACATGCAAATAATAAAATAATAATAAAATAAAAAATCTTTAAATAATAAAAACAAAATCTTTAATTTTTTACATATTAATTTTTTACATAATCCTTTTTCAAATTCGCCTCAAATGGTTGGAACATCTATTAATCCTTAAAACTATATCATTATCCTTATTTATTACATAAACATATCCAAAATACACAATAATACTAACACAAACCCAAAAATAATTGTACCGACAACTAAAATTTGAAAATTTAAAACACATCACCATCAAAATAAAACAAACAAAATAAGTATGAAAGAAATTCCAAAACACAATCAATACAAATAGCCAAAACAAACTAAAAATCCAAAATATACAATATAACCAAAAGTAATCAAATATAAATAAATATCTAAGTGGACCTTCACACATACAACAAGCACCATATTCTCTTTGGATTTTCACACAGCCAACACTCTTCCACTCATTTTGTTTTTCCCTTTTTCTTTTTATTTCTTTTTCCTTTTCTTTTTCTTTTTTTCTTTTTCTTTTTAAATTCAATAATGCTTATCACCCAAAATTCAAAAATAAAACCAAAAGCGAATCAACTCTACCTTCGGTCAATTTAACCATCCTTCTCCAAACGCTACCGATCCCAAACCGAATAAACTTAAAAAAAATGGCAACAAATGAACACGTTCCAGTAGAATCCGATCCAAACCCGAACCTAATCCCGAACCAGAACCAAACTCCGAAGCAGTCTCCACTTCCCGAAGACACAGACGAACTCAAGAAAGTCTTCAACGATTTCGACGCCAACGGCGACGGCAAGATCTCCGCCAACGAACTCGAAACTGTTCTCCGAACACTCAGATCCGACGTGCCACAGGAGGACGAACTCCGACGCGTGATGGAAGATCTAACCACCGACCGTGAAGGTTGCATCAACTTATCGGAGTTCTCCGCGGTCTGCCGCTCCGACACTTCTGACGGTGGCGGTTCAGCGCTTCGCGATGCTTTCGATCTCTATGATCGCGACAAAAACGGACTTATCTCAACTGAGGAGCTTCACCTGGCACTGGACCGCCTCGGAATGAAGTGTTCCGTCGAGGAGTGCAGGGATATGATCAATTCCGTTGATTCTGACGGTGACGGTAGTGTTGACTTCGATGAGTTCAAGCAGATGATGACGGCCAAGAGCCGTGCCGTTAACGACTTTGTCAATTAGACGTAAAAATATTTCTAAGTTTCGTCGCGGTTAGAAGTTTCTGTGTATCTTCGGTAAAAGCTTGCACTGTACTTTTTTTTAACATAAATAAATAATGAGCGAATTGCTCTGAAACTTTATAGACTTAGATCAAAATCGAAAACAGGAATTTGCTTATGGCTTATATGTCATAAAATTAGTAATTGGAATCAAACTTTGTTCTTCGCCTTTGCTTTAATTTTTTACTTTTACCAATGTGTTGCACTTTCTTATTTCTGTGAGTTAATTTAAGGTGTGTTTGGTTTTTTTAAATATTTTTTTTACTATTACATTTTTATCATAGAATTTGATATACGCCCTTTTAAAATGAAATAGTTGTATACTGTCTTTCAATAGAAAATTAACTTAAAAATATTCTTGTGATTTGATATATAATATAGTAGTAAATATTAGGGATGACAAAATGGATTGATTGGATTGTTAATAGATGAATTAAAATAATCTATTAGTCTATTAATAATCCACTAATTTTTTTTTAAAATTATCCAATCTAATCCATCCATTAACATATTTTTAATGGATGGATATCCATCCATCTAACTTTTTTTTTTATTTTGTAAAAATAAATATACTTTTTTATTTTTAAAAAATTAATTTTATTTTATTTTTGAAAAATTCATTTTTTATATTTTAAAAAAATATATTTTTTAATATATTCATTAAAAAAACTGAATTTTTTGTATTTTCAAAAAAAAAATATTTTAATTTTTGAAAAATATCGATTTTTTTTTTCAAAAAAAAAATCGTTTTTTTTTTCGAGAAAAAGTTTTGTTTTTTTTTTCCGAAAAATAAATCAGTTTTTTATTCTGAAAAAAAAATAGATTTTTTTTTGAAAAACAGATTTAGAAAAAAAATTAAAAAAACAGATTCAGAAAAAAATTTCATTTTTTTCGAAACAAAATTATAGTTTTTTAATTATTTTAAAAAAAATCTATTTTAAAAAAAATAAATTTAACGAAAATAAAAATAATCCATTGGATCCTTAAAATATGTTGGATGGACTAAATCCATCCATTCATATAAATGGATGGATTTAATCCAATCCCTTAACTTATTTTTTGTGTGGTGGATGGATTGGATGAATTTTTTGATGGATGGATTGAATGGATGTTGTCTTAATGGATTCAATTGCCACCTCTAGTAAATATACGATGCTCATTGAAAAACATTGTAAATTATTCAAGACTCTAATAATTTGTCCAAAACATTTACTCGATGCCTTTATTGAAAGAAAGGCACGATGCCTTTGAATTTTTTTTATAAGTAATAAGAAAACCAAACAAACGAACTCAACCATTACCAACAAAAAAAGAACACTAAAAAAATGATCTCCAAGAGGCACCGAGGTTGGAACACCAATCTGATCCAAATGTATTCCTCCCTTTTCTAATAAAAACATTGAACCAATCTCAAGCAAGAATTTTTATCATACTAAAAAATTCAAGTTTTTAAGAGTACGGTTGAGAATGTAATTCTTTGTGTCAAAATATGTTGTTCGACAGAAATAAAATAATGATAAAATAATATAGTGTATCTGAGTTGTGTAGTTGTCGAAGTGTCGAACGAGTTAATCTCGATTTGAATTTTGACTTAGGCCTAATTATATAATGTTAGCTGAATTAGGTAATTCGAGTTTTGTATTTTTTTTTTTTTTTACTTTGCTTAGGGAGCAAAAAAATCAAAATCTATAAATAGGGAGTAACCTCTATTTTTTGGCTTTGTTTAGGGAGCAAAAAATCAAAATCTATAAATAGAGAGTAACCTCTATTATTGTATAACAATTTTGCAATTTCAAAGAATAATATTTAGTTTTGAATAGTAGAGAGAAACTCTGAATAAATTTTCTTCTTTCATATTTGGTTCAAACTCTAATTCTCTTTTCTTCCCAATTAAATTTTTCTTTCTTCTTCCATTAACAATTGTTGCACAAAATCATTCTTGCAATCAATGTGTGATTAATTCACTCGAGTGAAGAGTGAAGAACAAGATAGGAATTCGATCGGTTGATTGAATCTTGTTCATCAAGATTGGTTAAGAATTCTCCAAGATTGGATTAATTCCAACATCTGGTATCTAAAGCTCCGTTTGTGATTCATGGAAGAAAAATGCGACGATGATGATTCATCCAAACATGCATTTTTCAAATGGCCCCTTAAAGGAGGAAGTTTATGTTGCAAAACCAGTTGGATTTATGAAACTGTTAGCTCCTAAATTCGAAGCCTCAGGTAGAAAGAAGGTATTTAAGACAAAAGGGTAAAAAATAAGTCGAGAACAAGAGAATGGTCGAAAGAGGCAAAGCAGTCAGAAGAAGGAGTCGAAGGACTCACCCAGCAGCCAGGAGTTCGACCGCCTGCTGAGAAGGATGGTTTGTCGAAGGATTTGAAATTTAAATATTGGAGGGAACGGTTTTGCTTGTTGAATATTGAGGGAGACACGTGTCACCTTATGAGTAGTAGATCCATGCATTTGTGACAAAGTGGCGAAAGGAGATTATGATGGAGGTTATTAGAGGTTATTTTTTATTACTATAAATAGGGTGTCTTAGACATATCCAAAGTGTGTTGTAATTTACTATTGTACAAATTACTCTTGAAATTACTCCAAGTATCCGAGTGTAGAGAAAGCAAGTATTGTAGAGAATGTACGTGATGTAAACACACCATCTTTTAACTTAATCCAATTTACTTGTTTTTTACTTTAAATTTTACAAAGTCTTTTATTGTCTTTATCCCTTTTCCCTTACTTTATCTCTCCCCTTCCTATGCAATTCTTTTCTCTTCGTCCTCAATTTGACTTCTTTTCTCCCAACAAACTTTCGTCTCCTTTATTAAAAGCTTCGTTTTGTCTTTAAATTAACATGTAGTCGAATAGATGTTCCTTTAGAATTCTTTCACCCCAATACTGTTCGAGTGTGGAACTTGAATAGACTCTTAAAACAAAAACAAATCTTTTAGCACATGTCCTAGGATCAATCTGATCGATCCTGTGAGTCACCAAAGTTAGATTTGGAAGATCAGCGGCTGTTTTCCGATTTTCAAGGGAAACAAAATGGCACGCCCAGTGGGACAGTGCTAGAAAATCTGTCTTATAAAACTAAACTTATATAAATTCTGTAGTCATACTGGTCCTTTTCGGGAGAGGTACATTTTTATGTTACTAAGAAGTGGTAAAATTGCCGCTATAAACGAAGAGACGCGACCAAGACGAAGCAGTAAGAATATGGATACGGATACAAACCAGCTAGATAACTCCAACCATCAAGGAGACGGTTCCAGTGAAGGGATAAGAGATGAAGGAGTTCCCCCTCCGATACCGTCGACAGGAGAACAAACGGTTCTTCCAGTAAGACCAGTGCAGACGCCTTCCGTACTTGGGGTTGGATCGACAGTAATAAGACCTTATACTCAACCAGTGTTGGAATATATTGGTCATCAAACGTCGAATCCTCAGATTTTGCTAGGAGGAGGTTCGACGTCCAGGCAGTTTGTTCCTCCTGGTTTTTCACAGTCACCAAGAAACCCCTCATATGGGATGCCCACTGCTATGATGCAAGGGCTCCAAAGTGCACCTCCTATATTCTCAGATCAGGCGATGGCTTCGCCGCTACAAGGGTCAGGGTCAGGCGTGAACATGGGTCGAAACCCCCAAAGCCAGAGTTTAGGGTATTCGACGCAAGGCCCCAATTTGACCAATACCTTAGTTGCTTGTTTAAGACAGCAGATGGATGAAAGTAACCTACAAATGGTTCAGACTTTGTCACAAACCATGGGTGAAATATTTCAACCATTAATCCAAAATACAACCCAGACCAATCAACAATTAGCGGTGCAATTAACGAGATTAGCTGAATTCATGGGGGTATCTCCCTTAACCAGAAACCAAGCCGCAGTAGCGGATACCCCACGAGACAACGTGGCGAATGTGGCAGAAGTTGACGTGGGAAACCAAGGAAGGATAACCCCTCCTGTAGTCGAAGGGCTTAGGGGAGAGCCTTTGCAAAACCAGCCCCGTGGCTTGGGAGAAAGGAATCTAGGAGTAGTGGTTGTGAATCAAAACCAAGACGCAGACAATGTAGTCCAGCATGTTCGTCGAAACAACATAGTCGTTGACAATAATCTAGCGGCCATGGTCGAGAGAATTATGGCCAGAAATGGGTTAAACACTGGTTTCACCAGGCCAAACTACACTTCACCTATAGTAGACTATATCCTTCAGGCGGAGTTGCCTCCTAGGACGAAAGTACCCAAGTTTACTAAGTTTTCAGGAGATACGACGAAATCCACCGTCGAACATGTGGCTCATTACCTAATCGAGGCTGGAGAGATAGCGAATGATGAAAGCCTTAGAATAAAATACTTCCCAAGTCCTCTTACTAAAAACGCCTTTACCTGGTTCACAACGCTTCCCCCTAACACAGTATGTAACTGGATCCAGTTAGAGCGTTTGTTCCATGAACAGTTCTATATGGGTCAGACTAAAATTAGCTTAAAGGAACTCGCTAGTGTGAAGCGTAAGTTTTCTGAACCAATAGAGGAATACCTTAATAGGTTCCGTTTGCTTAAGGCCAGATGCTTCACGCAGGTCCCTGAACATGAGTTGGTCGAAATGGCCGCCGGGGACCTCGACTACTCTATTAGGAAAAAGTTGGATACCCAATACCTAAGGGACATGGCCCAATTAGCCGATCGAGTTCGACAACTCGAAAGACTCAAAGACGAAAATGCTAAGTTTAATAAAAATAAAAAGGTAGCTTTTGTCGAATATAATGAGAATGTCGAAGGACTGTGTGATGAGTCTGTGAGTTTCGACGATGGCGAAGTGGACCTTGCTGAACTTAAGCAAGGACCGCCTTACCTGTGCAAAGTATTGGCTCTCCCACAAGGGAAAAGTTATGTCGAATCAGAAAATAATGATAGGTTCCCAAAGAAAACATATACTTTCGACATCACAAAATGTGATGA